TACAGTAGAGCGTCGTTTATCCGAAGGTCGGTTATCCGAAGGAATTCCAGTCAACAAATTTAAATTTTTGCCAGTGCTGTGGCGCTGTAATCTTTGGCTATGTCTTCGGCTACTCAAATATTTTACGTTTTTGATACTAAATTAACTTCTGAAGTATAATTTTTTATTGTTTTTATATTTTTCAATATATTTATTTTGTTTGTACAAAATAAAAAAATAATTTTTAACAATACAATAGTCTTCGCTAGGCTTAACGTCGACGAAAATTCAACGCGAAGCGACACGCAACGGAGAAAAATTTCAACATGGGATAGGTTAATATATTTTTTCGTACATAATTGGTTATCCGAAACTTTGATTTTCCGAATAACCACAGTCCCAATTCATTCGGATAATCGACGCTCTACTGTAAATAGATGTTATATGTTTTTATCAAAGCACGAATTGGTATTTAGAGGGCATATGGAATATATTGGATCTAATAACATAGGTAATTATATTGAACCTGTTTATTTATTAAGTACGTCAGATAAATAATCTATTAAAAAAATACATTTAAAGTAAGAAGTAACTGATTGTCCCTGGAAGTCGGCTTCCCTAATAGAAACACAGCTTCCCTATCATAAAATGTCACGGCACACCACTGTTTATTAAGGTTTTTGATTAACTCGAAAGCTTCCCTCTATGTACATTAGAAATGCTTTAAAATTAATAATAGGAAATAAAACTTATAGTTAATAAGAAAAACGTGTTTTAAACTTTTTTTATTTATAAATATTACTTTTAATGTCTTAGGTGTATATTCTTCTCTTAGAAAGCATCTAAAATAATTTGTCACATTTTAATACTTCCACTCGCCTGGTGAGGTTCATTAGCTTTTTCGTCATATCCATTTTATTTTCACAAATTTTCTTTTATTTAACTGACACAACACTGGCCTTTTTGTGCTCTCTGAGCGGTAAAGGGCCTAAAACCACACACACACACACAAAAAAACTGACACGACACACTACTTGTAACCCAAATAAAACTCACCGAGTAGCAAAACTACATATTTACTGTATATTATGTAAATATACATCTTCATTTTTATTTGTTAAATACAAGAAAGTAAAAAGTATGTTTCTTTTCCGTATATCAAAGGTATTTTTGAAAAATATAAAAAAAATTTTTCTGAAAACTTAATACAATTGGCTCCATTGCAAAAAAATAGATTATCTAAATTAATTAGAACTGAACCTTTCAGAAAGAAAGATTTATTAGAAGAAGGAGTGGTTTATAGGCTTCAATGTACGTGTGGAGTACCGTATTATTACGTCGGAGAAACGAAACGGAAACTAAAAGTGAGGATGTCGGAACACTTGGCAGCAGTACGAAATAAAATTAATACATCCCCGGTATTTTTGCATTGCCATGTGAACAACTGTCAATTAGATATTAATAATGTAAAAATAATACGTAAAGAGAAAAATATTGTAAAGAGAAAATTTAAAGAACATTTCACAATAATTATGCAAAGTAATGTAATGAATTTGAATAATGGAGTGATACTAGCGGAATGCTGGGAAGAGTTGGTGCTAGTTAAAGATTGTAAACGCGATGGTATCAGTGAGAAAGATGTGTCTTTCCTTGATGTTGAGGTGTTTTCTGCTGTGTCTACGGCCGAAAAAAATGTGTCGTCTGAAATATCTTCTGCTGTTCCTATTGTACATTCTAGTCGTCAGAAACCCTACTGAAAAGGCCTTGACAGGCGAAATGCATTTGGGGTGAAGTATATATTTATATAAAAATAAAAGTGTTTTTCTTTGTTAACCTGTTTGCTTTTATTCAATTTTTTATACCAGTCTACAGACTTGGGATTTCTTAAGCCTCCAAAAGTCAGAAACGAATGGAAAACTAGTGGTTTTCCGTGTACTAACGAATAGTACAATACGGTAAAAAATTGAAAATATACATTTGATAAAATGGCGAAGACAATAAGTATATAAGTAGAAAATTTATTTTTAAAAATTCTTCAAACATATGAAGACACTTTTTAAAATATTGTCTATTTAGAGAATTTTTTTAATAAATTTTCTACGTTTATAGGTTTAATCGAATTAAAATTACAATGTAAGAGGTGAAATTATTAGTACAACAGCACATATCACAACTAATAATCTTACACTGTATTGATCATTTTGGATGACAGGTGACTTCCAAGAGCTGTTGGCTATAAATGGACGTGTGTGTCCCTATATTTCACTTTTCCGCCAAAACTACACATCGCAGGTAAATGCTGTTTGTATGTGATAGTAGCCCCAAGTCTCCATTCGTGCACTATGGTGGTTGCGTCTCGATAGCTATAAGGGTGCGGGAGATATGGGGCTGAAAGTGGTTTTCGAATGTTGTTCGAATTTGAATTCGAACATAAAATTCGAATATTTGTTCGATTATAGAACGATTGTAAACGTTCCAGAAACGTTGAAAATAGTTCGTTTGACTGGACGTGAACAGGAGACGTTCAGAAATAAAATCGGGACCAGGTCTCTAATTAGTCTGGAAACGGGGGACCTAATTCTTGCATTCTGTGAAAACGGCTAAGATTGGCTATAATGCAATTATCTTAATCTTCACTGTCGTTACTTTTTGCCCACAAATAAAAACCCAGCGAAGCGGGTCCTTGTAGCTAGTAGAAATATAAATATTAACGACGTTTACGAATAAATAATGTTCAAAACCGAATTACGATAGTATTTATAAGCAGTCCTTTAAAAGAGACAAAAGAAATATCTGAGTTAAAAACGAGAAAATTCCATATATTAAAAGAATCTCGAATGTTTACAATTATTTTAATATATGAAATTTTCTCGAAACTCTCGAAGTGGCAGAAATTTTTTGTTAAACCAGAATAGTAGCATTACAGCTATTGGCAGCGCAAGGACCAGTATATCTATCGACTCTGGTATAACGTAGGTCACGCGAATACAGTTCTAATTTAAAATCAGCCGTTGAAGTGCAGTACTTTCAGGCCAAACCGATAGATAACCAGACGTCCGAGCGTTTGGGTTTTTTTAATTTTTTTTCCTCCTCCCTCTTCCTCCTCCCTCCCTTTCCTCTCCTCCTCAGTAAGAGGCCCTCTTTTTAGCAGGCCCATTATGGGTTCGGCCAGGCCCACAATGGGCAGCCGTGTGGTGACGGACGGGGCACGACATATCCGGACGGACCACTCCCCGAAAAATTCGTGGGGATTTTTCAACTCGTTCGGATTCGATCCCGGGTCCCCCAGAGCTTAGATTGCCACCTTTAAAAAAAAAAAAGGGGGGAAAAAATGTATTTTATTAATACTTTAAAATAAAACTTTCGAAAATAATTTATAATTATTTTTAATTTCGTCAATAAAGAAAAGACATTTATTTCATTAAAAATAAGTCAAAATTTATTTCTCATCTACTGGATTTTTAGTTGTACAAAAAGTCCAGGAGGAGCTGTTGTACTGTACATGTCTCGTGATGAAAATATTTCTCATCTTCATCGGTTCGAACTGATCTCTGACGAAAGTGAATGTTGTAGAAGAAATACGATTTTGAAGAATTTATAATCGCTGAAAAATGTTCCGAGTTTGTCTTCTAATTCTCTTAGGTAAGGGATCGTAGATAATGTATTAAAATCCGTTTTTAATTTAAATCAGAAAACTACAAAATATGATGATAAAATGCTCATGCTATATATTTCAGGAATCTTAATTTATTTCCGTTTGTGTTTAATTTTTCACTGTAAAATTATGATTGAATTACTCTATTCCATATTGAGGTTCGTGCAAAATATATAAAGTACAGGTAAATTGGCGTAATTTAACTGTTTCGCAAGCGGATTTGGTTAGATTTATCTTAACATGGATTAAGTCATTTACAAAATATTTTCTAGACCGTACATTTCGGTAATAGTAAGTCTACTAAGTTTTAGATCCAGTGTCTGTATATGGGTACATAATAAAAGATAAACCGTACGTTTCTATATTCAACAGTTGACTCAACGGTGAGAGAACAACGTTTCTAAATGGACCGTTGAGTTCTCCGTTGAGACTAGTGACGTCAGTGCTGTTTCACCGTTGAGCTCAACGGTCTCAACGACCTGAAAGACCGTTGAGTATTCAACAAACTAACATGGCGGCTTCCACGAAAAAGTAAATTTCGCTTATAGAAACTATCCACTCGCTACTGTGGATGCTGTAATAGCAAACAGATTAATGAACAATCTGTATATGATAAAACATGTGATTGCACGATTATGTTGGATAATTTGGTCAATATTGAAATATTAAGATTTTTTTCATTTGTCCAAAATTGATTACGACCAATATTTGGCCCGCTAAGTCTTCCTAATGATATAAATATTCAAGAAATTAATTAAAATTATTAAAGAAAGACCCAGTAAACAAGAAAATGATCCAGATATGGGTTCATTTGAATAAAAGGATTTATTTGAATAATGGTTAAGCGAGTTACTTTAATTATTTAGCAAAACAGTCACAATCGCCACCTTCTCGTTACTTAAGTCAGCCATCTTGAAAAGCGACCTCTCAACGAAAGCGTTTCTTTTTTCTGCAAAACATGACGTCAGATCATTCAACGGAGAGACTCAACGGAAAATTCACTGTTGAGTCAACCGTTGAATATAGAAACGTATGGAAAGTTCTGAAAGGAGATTGGACACCTCCCCCTATATATTACTTCTACAGGCATGGTAAGATCCCAAAATTGGGTTGCATTTAGATTGTTAAATATCTCTCTAGATGGCATTGAATAGGTAATATATCAATTACAATTACCCTTATATGCACTTACATAAATGTGGGTGCATGTAAGGGAAAGAACAAGATGGGAAGAAAACTGTTTTATTAACCGCTCACTGGGGTTTGATTTCTGAATAGTCCTTGTATGGTTTCTACTTTCTTACTAGTGGCCAAGTGGATAAAATCAGTGAGTGCTGGTAGTTGGTTGTGGGTTTGCATCTGTTTGGTGGGCTGGCTATATGGAATTTTGAGTTTTCTTCGTGTTTGTAACACACAAATAGGGGCTAGTTTCCCATAGAAAGTCCTCCCAGGAGAAATCCCCCCTTTGACAGATTTCTCATGTGTCATGTTGTCATATCCAAATAAACCAACAGTTTGTACATTGTATTGTATGCACAATTGTATTGTTTATTCAATATCTTAAGCACTATGCTCCTAGTTATGACAAGTTTATTTTTGAAATACAACAAGTGGATTTGCAGCGGCTGTCTGTATTAATGTATGTTTGAAACATCCCAACAATCTCTTCATTCACAATTTGTTTTTCAGTTCTTTTCAGGTCACAAACACTACCAGTCTCTAAACTTTACATATCAATCTTTCAGTGCTTTTCACATTTGATTATTCTTGTCCATACTCTTTTCTTGAAGTTTCACTGAATCATAATTGATGATTTTACTTTGTGAAACCAGAGAAAAAATAGCATTCTTCTACAAAGATACTATTTTGTTATTGGTGTTTGCAGTTCAATCTGGATCAATCAGTCTGTGCAACATTACAACAAAAACCATAAGAATCAGCCTAAATTATTTTACAAAGTGTATGTTTCTACCTAACATAACAATTTTAAAAACAGAATTTTTTAAATTAGAGTTGCTAACACCACAGATATCTTTCTTTTCCATCCTAACCACTTGGGAACTGTAGAGATTTATATTCAATAGAAGCAAGCACTGGTAAGTGTAGATTTTCAGCTGCCCCTGGTGACAAATCTTTGTAAAATATTTTCAGTTCAACTGTAGAGTATTTTTGACACTGTCTTCAATTTTAATTTTAAACTTAATTACCATGCAATGATACTTTACAATAGTTAAATAGAAGTTTTATCATCACTTTACAAACATTATTTTCCTCTATTTTTTCATATTTTTTGTGGATTTTTATAAAAATTTTCATAAAATAAAAAATATTAATATTGAAATATATTTTAAAATATAAAAATATGATTGCATTTTCAAAAAAATATTAAAAAAATCAGCCAGAAACTCTAAAAATGTTCAGTTTTTTGGAAAAAGTTCATGCATTTCTTAAATAATTTTTCATTTTTGAACATCAAAAAGTCCTTACTTGGTATGCCCTGCTAAAAAATAGGTCATTTCAGGAATCAATTTTAATTTTATTTCTATTGATGTATTACAACAAGTTTATAATTCTGTTATTCCATGATGATGACTCATGTTTAAATTAAAGCATTGTTTTAATTTTAAAAAATTTTGTTAATTTTGCAGTTTAGTGTTGAATGGAAAATTATACAGTAGGTCATTTGTATGATTTAATTGAATTTTCCAAATTACATAGTAGTAATTACAATTGTTTTGTAAATTATTGTTTTATTTTGTATACTAGTGTGCAATAATTTTCAAAGAGATTCTGCATGTGTTCTGGGAAATTCAGAGTCCTGAAAATATTCTGCACCTCTGGAAAATAGTACTTTTCACTCTGTTCTATTCATATTTGTAGGTTGTTGTTACTGATATCAATTAAAGTAATTCCTGTAAAATACTTGTAATTCCTTACCACTATCAATGATAAAGCACTAAAAACTGTTAAAGTATTTGTTTATATAAATGGACTCTTTATATATAAAAAAGTATTGTCTTTATATGATTTAAAAAAATTTTTATTTTGCTTCTGAAATAAATACTTTATCAAGTTAATTTACTTTCTAATTATTTCAGTTCAGTATTTTTTATAAATTTTTGTTATATTATGATGAAATAAATTTTTTATTTAACTAAATTTAATTTTTTGTAGTTTAAATTCAATTTTTTATCAATTAAAGATAATTTCTTTTCTATGAAAATTTTTATTCATATAAAAAGTTTAGGTGATACTAGTAAATTTTGTGGTTTTTCAAATTTTAGAATTTAACCCTTCTACGATGACGTGACGATATATCACCAGTTCAGCTTTAGCTGAAACATATAAAATGAGATATTTCGAGAATTTGAAAAATGTCTAATTTTAATCAAAACTTCTCTGCATCATTTTACTCGTGTTTGATGATGTTTTTATTGCTGCTCACTGTCTAATCACTTGCAGCTTCATGATGGGAAAGCCAAGTGGTTTAAGGAAGGTGCCCAACATATCTGGGACATGAAAAATTCCTTGCCTAGATTCAATCTTGGATTTGAGAGAGAGAGAGATTGATACTTCTGAATGCCTCAGCCATCCAGCAATCATTTTAAAGATTATTTTATAAAACCTAATTCTGTTAACTGATGATTTTTGTATTAAATTTAAAATCTGTTAATTATCAATGCAATCAAATTAAGAGTAATAATTTTAAAAATTTTTATTTTTATATTATTTCATTAAAATGTCAAGATTTTTAGAAGTAATTTTTTTATTACATACTTGATAGCTCTGAAGTTGTTTTAAAGTTACCTCATTTTATTGCAAATCTCTTCTGATATGATTTTAAATGACTTAAGAATCATGAAGTACAAATTAAATAGATTTTAATTATCTTAATTTTTTTTACTGTATAGCAAGAGATGATGTTGATGATGATATTAGCAATCATTTATTAGTGACTTTTACAAATACAGTGTTTTCCAAAATGAATACTATTACCATTTTAAATTACTGTAATTATGTTAATTATTATCTGAGAAGTATGCAACCTACACCAATCAACAGAGTAACTGTCAGTTTCATCTCCTATCTGCATTCAAACATTTGTCTACTTATTCTAAGAAGTGCTGTAAACAAAAATGATGACTCTGCAACAGAGAAGGCATTTTGTGTTCTGCAACTTGCAAAGATGACACTCTTTATCATGGAACATTAATTTTGCAGACAATTCAAAGTGATCCATTATGTAAAACAAACATTCTCCACTGATGTTAACAGTTCTAGGAGAACAAAAAGATTCTGTGTTTTCAAATTTCATAACAGAAAACACTTTCTCAGTTGCAGAGTTGCCATTTTTGTTTACAGCATTTTCTAGAAGTAGTAGACATTAAGATGTTTGAATGCAGAAGCAAGATGAAACTTGGACAGTAAAACTATCAATTAGTGTGCATTGCATACTTCTAAGGTAATAAGTAACATAATTATAGTATAGTAGAGCGTCGATTATCTGAATGCCGATCAACTGAAATGTTGGTTAACCGAAAACGTTCCAGTCGGACTGTGTCATGCTGAATCAAACGTTTTTGATACTAGATTAACTTCTAAAGTATAATTTTTTTTGTTTTTATACTTTTCAATATATTTATTTTGTTTGTACAAAATAAAGAAATAATTTTTAATGATACAATAGCCACGATTATTATTATAAAAATTTTTGTTAGGCTTAACTTTGATGAAAAGTAAGCGCAAAGCGACATGCAATGGAGAAAAATTTCAATGTGGGATATACTAATATACTATATTAATAATGTATTTTTTCGTATGTAATCGGTTATCCGAAAAATCGATTTTCTGAACAACCCCAGTCCCCAATTGATTTGGATAATCGACACACTACTGTATTTAAAATGGTAGCATTTTAGTTTTGAAGACTCTGTATAGGATTAAATTTTGCAGATAAAATTATAGTATACATTGTTTTATTATAATTATAGTGATATAATTTTGTAGTAAATTATAGTGATGTTTTCAATTTCATTTCTGATTTTAGGTTTTATTTGTTACTCTTTTGGTAAAGAAGAATTGATAATTTTACATAGTCCTTCATCTGTAAAGTTTTCTGGAAATGAACCAATCCGCTCTTCTGTTATTTCTGATTTATTCTCTGCAAGTATTAGTTTCACACTGCCCAAGGTAATATTTTGCTGATTTTCTCTAAAAAAAAAATTCCTAATTTAGTTTTTACAAAATAATAGTCATAATGCATTGTTGATGAAAAGAAGATACTAATGAATATACCATTTGAAGAATAATTATTTTAGTCATAATAAATCATAAAGAATGCCAAATTGATAATTGGAAATCAAATTCTCTTTGAGGTGGACCATTGATTGATATATTCATCAAATTGCTAACATTTATTACATCTAGTCTATTGCATATTGGGTTTTTAATGAGATTCATTTCACTAAAGTGGTTTTAGTAAAATGAATCTCATCATGCTCACGGTCAGCAGTATGTATCAAAATTGCAAGGGCATAATCTAAACTGAGGAACATATGAGGAAAATCATAAACCAAGTTATTTGTGACCATTAATTAGTGGAAACCTGAGAGAGAGAGGTCTTTGCACTGCTGATAAGTATTCTTTTAAACATGCCCCATTTCACAAGCAACTCGGTCTTTTCTACGTTTAGCTGTGACTGCAGCAAAGTATGAAGCTGTAATATTTCTTTATCTCCAAAGCCATAAAAACTTTCTGAGTTTATACTTGGGATGTTTCTGGATATCAAGACTAAATAATTGCAGCATTCCAAAATCAGAAAATCTTTGTTGCAAGTTTGTTACAAGATCTAGTAATAATAATATTACAGTAAGACTCTGCTTAATGTGGGGGATACATTTTTAGACGACAAAGTGCTAAACGAAACAGCGTTAAACGAGATCATTTTAACATAGAATAAATATGGAAAGGGGAACTCTCAACCAAAAGTAAATTTTACTTTAATTTTAAGTTATTTTTATATTAATTTGCATAATAATATATGTAAATAACACAAACATATGCACACAGAAATGTAAAGTTCATTTTTTGTGATGAAAGTTCTGGCTTTTCTGAAATTTTTGTTTTTTGCAATAAAGTCATGTAGTTTCATTTCTCACTTTTTTTTTCTTCCTGAAGCAAATGTTGGTAGCAGAAGATTGCATCCAAAATGCCTCATTTTGCTTTTGCCTCCTTTCAAAATCTGAATCATTCACTACAATTTGATCAACAATTTCGGTTATCGTTACTAAACTTTACCAAGGAAATCTGTAGAGAATTCTTTGGGTTCACAAAGTTTTCACAAAAAAATTAATAAAATTGAAATAATTTTGAATAATTAGTGACATTATACAAAAATACTTTTCATATGTTTCCAGTACTCACTTAATACTTCGAACAAACATTCCATTCTTTATGAATCAATTTTGTAGGAATCACAGTTTACGGACTACGGCTGTTTGAAAGGTTTTCTTTCATAAAATTAATCGATTCTAGACTAATTCGACTCAACATTTCCAAAATACGTATATTTTTTTGGAAATAATCCATATAAACTACGTTTATAAACAAAAAATTGTAGGATTACTTACCGAGTGTGCACCGTTCGACTACGCCCGTTGCTAAAGCTCGTTTTCGTCGCGGAACAGCGCATCAAATGGCAGCCGCGATTTCTGATATTATTTTTCTGCGAAAACTTCGTTGACCTTTGGAGACATCATTAATATAAAAAATTTTTATGGCCGTTGAATAAGAAATGTTTCTTTCACAAGAAACGTATAAAATTACAGTGCTATATTAAACTTAGGGTACCTAATTTACATACTGTACAGATGATAGCTAGCCTAAACTCTCCGTAGCGCCACTAGACTGCGAAAAATATATATATAATTATAATAAAGTTACAATAAATTAAGTTAATACATAATTATATATATAGTACCTAATTTATATATAATTATATGTACAGACGAAACTAAACTCAATTTACCCGCCTAAACGTCCATAGCGTGGCGCTACGGATGGCGGGAAAGTAGTTTGGCTGCCCTATGACGTTTTACGTAATTATAGGAATTTTTTACCGTTGTACGGATACCGCCACAATTTTTTCGCTGTCTTATAGGAATCGTAACTATAGGAAACAGTTTTATAGGGGGATCTACTGTATTGTTAATGAAAAGATATTTTATCCAACATCATCCTCTAGATCAGTGTTTCTCAACGGGGGCGATATCATCCCCATGTGGGCGTTTTTCCATGTTGAGGGGGCGATTAGTAACAATTTATATTTTGGGGGCAAAAAACAATTTTCTGGGCAATATAGTAAAACATTATATTAAGAATAATTAGATATTTTATTCGTTATATCGTACAATAATTAAAGAAATAACATTATACTAGTTACTAGTCTATTCAATGCAGTACAAATTTGGCATTAACCTTGTCCCTTGGCATCAGAATTTTGTAGTGAAGAGGGCGATACTACGTAATGGTTTTATTGAAGGGGGCAATACTACGTTGAAGCGAGCAATGATTCGTTAGAGGTTGAGAAACACTGCTCAAGATGATGATTTTGGCTAGTTTAGAATTTGTCTTACTTATCCTAATTTTTCCTTCAGAAAGTCCTACTTTTCCTACTTTTTAAGCCTTGAAACCCAGTAGATGACTGGTATTTTCTTTTATTCATTTTAAAATACTAATAACAATTTTATAGAGGTTTATAGATTCTGATTATGATGGATGCATTAAATCATTTTTAATTTTTTAAATAAAATTATATATTTGATTTTATTAAATAGATACAAAGAGATTAAAAATGATATAAATTATATATGTACTGTACATATATTTAAATGATATATATAAATTATACATACATATATAAAAATATTAATATTGTAGGAAGATCAATGGCCTGATCTTGAACCTGTTAATCCATTCCACAGACCAGAAGCTTTATTTATAATGCAAATTATTGGATTTGATAACAATTTGGATTTGAATTTGGATGGAAATCATTTTCTGTTGGAAAATGTGAGTGTTTTTTTCCTAATTTAAAATTTATGTAAATTTTAATGTTTAAACATAATCTAATGATGATCTGTTTCTTAAAATTTATTTTAACATATAATTTAAAAAACATTGTAAAAGTATACCTGAATAACGTACAGCTTACAATAGTACAAGAAGTTTTTGGGAATAGTCCTGACGCCTACACTAACTTTCGAAAAACAATATAAAAAAATTATTTCCAAATCTAACCTATTGATCAATAATATGGTGAAGTTGTTTTCCCAAATTAAACTTAAGAATATATTTATTCACTTTAGACTGTTTAACTCAATAATCATTAATGCCATAGGCTAGGCCTCTCCAATTTGGAGCCTTACTAGTTATAAAAAATTTGACATAATCCAAAATAAATTCATCTGCAAAATTTTTTCTCTAGAATATAACATTCCTGGATATGCCCTCAGACTAGAACTTAATAGATTCAAACTAACTCCCTTCTTTGTAAAAAGGTTCATTAACTTTCTTTTCATGATTATAGATAATGGAAATTTACCTTCTAAGTAAGCTGTTGTTCTTGTTATGGCAAAAATCTTGTCAAAATCTGCAGAAAAGTTCTTGGGTGAACCAAATGACAAATATTGTCAACGACTTTGATGTTTCTATAACTCCACTGCTGGTAAAATCAGAAACTAGCAACCTGATTAAAACTCAACTAATCCAAAATACGTTGGAAATTTCTTTATCTCAAGACATTGGAGAAATGTACTGATACTGATACTGAATTAAAGATCAGAAGGCTGTCTTTCGACTTAGCCTGATTTGGAAAGGAAGGAAGGAGGGGTGTAGTGGGTGGGGATAAAAGTCTGAGGAAAGTGGGAAGGAAGGAAGGTTAGAATGGGTATCCCATGGGCGTCATGCATCGCGTTTATTAACAGAGATAAAAATAAAAGGGAGTACAGAACGATGGTCGCTATGGACCAGTGCTTGATGCACTTTACAATTGCTTACAGTGGTTACAGAATGAGAGATAGTGCTGTTTGCACCTTACAAACAAAAGGTATTCAAATATAGGTAAGGGATATGATGCCGGAAAAAATACAGTTTTGAAACCAAAATTAGGAATTATTACAAAATTTGTGGAATTACATTGAAGAGTGCGACTTGCACTTAACAGGGTTGAAATTCGAGTAAATATAGCAAAACCAACTCGCGGCGGAGATAGGCCGAAAGTACAGGAGGCAAAGTGCTTCCAGATGACAAAAGAAAGTTGCCTAAGGATGATCAACGACAAAACGATTGCTACAAAGCCGTCGCGGCACGATCAATACAGAGCACTGTGGCATGAGAGGGGAGTGCATGTAAGCACTTTACAGAGACGTGGGTAAGTGAACAAGAAATTAATACAATAAACATGTAGAATATAATACAAATATATATATAAAAACAAAGTATAATATGTGACAAGCGAATAGAAAACATAGAAATATGTACAGAGTTTACATTGATGCCTTAAGTTGTAGGATAACCCTTCTCAAGAGTCAGTTGGCAAGGTCTTCGTCATCTTCATGGTCTGATCGCGTGGAAAAGTCGTTGGCAAATGCGTTGCAGGAGTTGACAAACTTCAGGAAGTGGTCAAAGCTATCCTTATGGGCGCACAAATAGTCTAAGTTCGGCGGCCACGATTGTCCATGGGAGTTGCAGAAGCTTATGAGGTCACTTCTGTAAGTCTCGTAGAGAGGGCAGTCGAAAAGAATGTGAAACGAGTCCCCGACAGAGGAGTTGTCGCAGGGGCACGTAGCATTGCTTCTTCTACCGATCCTATGTAGGTAGGATGGGATATTCCCATGCCCGGTTAGGCATTGAGTTAGGTAGAATGATGGTGTGATGTACTTATACCTCTGGCGTTTGTGAATAGAAGGCAGAAAGCTAAACGTCGTTCGGCCAGTTGTTGAATTGTTCCACTCGCCTTCCCAGAGGTCGGTGCTTCTCTCATGTAGATGGTTGCTTATGTAGCTGGTCGGTATTAGCCCGAAAGACGGGCTTATTAGGAGTTCTGTGGCTCGTTTGGCCAGCTTGTCCGCCTTTTCGTTGCCTGGAATGTTGTGGTGTCCAGGCACCCATCTAAAAGAGATGTTTTTCCGTTGGCTTAAGTTCATTGCAAGGTGGTAGACCTTAATGCCAGTGGCGGTCAGCTTCCTGGTGCCCCTGATGACACTGAGTACGTACCGGCTGTCCGTGAAGAAAGTTATGCCACCTTTGAAGTTACGACAGTGATTGGTAACAGTGGCGAGTGCCTTGCACATAGCCCATAGCTCCGCTTGGTTGTTGGAGCAGTGGGTGCAAAGCTTGTGGAACTCTTCATGGACGATTTTGTTAGTAGAAGTCTTGTAGATAACAAAGGCAGACCCGGTGCCCAGGTCGTTCTTAGCGCCGTCGGTGTAGACGTGCCAATCCGCTATGCGATCTTCGGGATTGTAAACGGTGCTGATGATGTCATTAGTGGAACTTGCAGGGTGACAGAGCGTAGCAAAGGTACTGATATGTCTGTCAATGCCGTGGAGCTTGATTTTGTTGACGATTTCGGCAGAGGGAAGGTGGTTATTCGTGACAAGGTTCTGTATTTTCTCAGTATCGAGGTCTTGAATATTGTCTTGCAGAAGGTGCCATTTCCAAACTCTGGTTTTAATTTTGATGTTGATAGGAGTCATGTTGGCGATCGTTAGAAGGGCGTCGGTTGGCGCTGTCCGATATGCTCTACAGATACGAATGGCGAAACCTCTTTGGATGGACAGTAGCTTCCTTTTATTATGTATAATGTTGACTCTTTTGCCCCAGATTTCGGCCGCGTAGAGCAGGGCGGGCTCGATTGCCCCACTATAGATTAGTCTGCAGTGCTTGGCAGAAAGGCCCCAGGTGTTCCTAGCGATATGATTTATCATATTCGCTTTCTGCTTAATTTTGTGACAAGTCTCTTCAATGTGATAATTCCAACTCAAGGTTGGATCAATGTGCACCCCAAGGTATTTAATATGAGGTTTCATTTTTATTTTCTTCCCTTTCAGATAAATACAGAGGGGCCTTTGTAACTGTTTGCGACGGGAACGCTTAGTGCAAACTAGGCCCTCACATTTACTGTAATTAATTGGCAGTTTATTCCGATCGCTCCAATCGTGAATGATGTTGAGAGTCTTATTTGCCTTCTGTTGCAGGATATCACGGTTCTGGTGCCGAATCATTAAGATGGTGTCATCGGCAAAACCTTGTATATGTGTGTCCTCAGTGTTACATATCGTCTTGAGGAGCTCATCGTAGACAATATTCCAAAGTCCCGGCCCGCACCGGGAACCCTGGGGACAACCTCTGTTTACATCCTTTGTTACGTTGAAACCTCCAGAAAAGAAGCCGGCCTTCCTGTCCGTGAGGTAGTTAGCCAGGAGATAGTAGATGTTACTAGGACAGTTCGTATCCCTAAGCTTTTTAAGAATGGCGGGCCACCAGAGGTGGTCGAAGGCTTTTTTGAAATCCACGCTCACTAATAGAGCATGATTGTTTTTGTTCCAAGCATTGCCAACGAATTGCACGACGTTGTTAATGGCTGTTAACGTAGAATAACCAGGCCTGAAGCCGTATTGGTTATTATTTAATTCCTTGTTGCTGGCGAGGTGCCAGTTATGGAGAAATGTACTGTACAACCAAAAACAACCAGAGTGGTATAGCTTTATTTTGGATTACCCTTTTAATAATAACTACATGTTATTGAATATGCTGTTTGCAATCAAGAAATTTTTTATCCAACTTAGATTAAATAAAAGGATGATTATGGTAAATAATAAAATTTATGAATTCTCGAAAACATACTGTCGAAGATGCAAAGAAATATTGACTAAACTTCATATGTTTTGTGAGTGCAAGGACGGCTAGAAACTAAGGATTAATGGTGAGCTAAATCAGCTAAATACCTTTAATTAGGAAAACCAAATGTATCAGTTATTTCATTTAGCAAACACTGCAATCATATATCAATTGTATAATTTTGCAAAAAATTTTTGAAACCAGCCTCTCTAATTTTATATGTAACAAACCTGATACACATAGGTATTATAATTTTAGGTCATTTAGTTTTACACAATTGTTTATGCTGATATAAGTAAATTTTGATATAATGTAAGTCTAAGTCTGTATGTCAGGGTATGGCCTATTATGATTAATAAATTTGATTTGATTTGAATATTTTTAAAATTATAGTTGTGTAAAATTTATTAAATTTGGTTTTAATCTGAATTCCATTGTATTATCAAAATATCTGTTTTTTGAAACTACTAAAAAAAATGAAAAAACATAATATCTATCAACATTTTTCTTTAAGCTTTTTAGTTAATTTCTAAAGAATAACTTAGAAAGGTATTTCTTATTAATTTTTATTTTCAATTAATATGTTACTATTGTGAATTTAAATAAATGAATTTATTATATGTATTATACTGTTATATTGTATTTTAAATTTATGGGCTTTTCATAAATACATATGAGACACTATTATGCTATTTAGACCATTTTTATTAACATATCCCAAAATGCATTTTAGCTACTTTTATATGGCTGTCTTCAATTGGATATAGGTCTAAAATACAAGAAATTGTTTTGAGACAATACAGAAATATATCAACAACATGCATACAAACACATTTAAATAATTATAATGTGTTTGTATGCATGTTGTTGATATATTTCTGTATTGTCTCAAAACAATTTTCTTTATTTTAGACCTATAGCCAACTGAAGAGAGCTACTGTATGTAAAGATAGCCAAAATACATTTTTAGATATGTTATTTTGGATTTGATATGTTAATAAAAATGGTTTAAATAGCATAATAGTTTTATATGTATGATAAGCCTGTAAATTTAAAATACAATATAATAGTATAATAGATATAATCAGGTGAGAAATGGTTTAAGAATAAATGAATTTGTTGATCAATGAGTTCATTCTATACACATCAAAAAGGAATAAATTCAACAAAAATTGATTTAAATTGGGATTAATGTGATTAACTTAGAATATCTTATTTATGTTATCAGCAATTTTGAAGATATAAAATAAATATTGATCTTGATTTTAACTTAACTGACTTGTAACAAGTTTTCCTACCGTGGTGAAGAAACTGACCTTAATAATTTAAATATAGCATTATAGAATAATTTAAAACTTTTCTAGAAATAAATGTTATAGTATAGTTTGGTATTGGCTTGGGAAAAAATCATATAAATCATTTGTCAAATTAACTTACAAAAGATTGGTATAATAATATATAGCAGTTTCCAGTTTTGTGTTAATTTGTATAAAACTAAATTTAGTTTATAATAATCATTATATTATGATAGTTATTCAAATGTATTACAGATGGGAGATGTTGATGCTCAATATAACATTTTAAAATACAGAATAAACAATAGATATACAAGTAAGCCAGTTCTTGTACAGTTTGAAGCTGATGAAAATGTAAGTAAATTTTAATTTTCTGGTTTTGAATGTTATGTTATGATGAGACAGCAGATTTTAGGCAAATGCCTATTTTTTCCTTAGCATATACATGGCTAAGATTTTGTATGAACACTTCTCATGAACATTTAGACCAAAACAATGGTACAGTGGGTGATCGGATAACGAACACTTTCGCGAAAGATTTTTATGTTTGGACAATGAACACCCCACAGAACAAACACAAGAAGAAGTGATGTAAAGTAATGAATACCAATTGGTTTTCCTTGACTTTAGGCAATAATTCAAAACTTTTCGGAATGTGGGAGATGTCGACATCAACACTCAAGCCAATATATACTGATCGGATAGTATTCCTCCGACTTTGAAACTCTCCCTTGTACAGGTAGCCCTCGGTTTACGCCGCAGTTCCGTTCCTACAAAAGCCGGCGTGAAACGAATCCATATTTACAGTGAGGTATAGGGTTAGGTTCTACATAATTGAAAAATAAGCTAATAATTTTGTTTATTAATACAATATAATACAAAATGCATATAAATTTAATTTTTAAAATGTATTTTATTATAAAATAAAGTGAAATGTTTTTATTAAAATATTTTAGTTTCGGATCTTACATTTTTTGGAAAAAAGTATTCATCTTTAACTGTTTACATTTTTGTTTTCTTTCATTGAGAATTTTGGAATATGGTCGAATGGATGCGATGATGCTCCTTTTTACATTTGCACTTTGCTCCCAATCATTATCTAACTCACAACGTTCATCCGTCAAACTTTCCATAGTTGAAAGGATACGTTAACCCAATGTAGAGCTACAGACGAGCGGAGACACTGATTGGTCAACCACCGGTCGCCCAATGTTTTCCTGAACGAACTGATACGGGATACATTCATTGGCGCTATGGATTCGTACGCCATTTATTGGACTATTAAGTTTAATAACTTGACTTGTGGGTACCTAAATGTTTAGTATTTTAATATTAATTTAATGCAAATGTACACATACCCAATAATATTAAACAGAAAAAATAAATATATTCAATAAAAATCTTTGTTTTAATGAATCTACAATGTTGCGGCTTGGCAAATATGTCAACACTGAAGTGATAATCAGTCTAGCATAGGGAAAATCGGGGAATTACACCGTGAAACGGCGAATTGCACAGCGGCGTTATTGTGAATTGGCGTAAATTGAGCCGGCGTAAACCGAGGGCTACCTGTACTTCCAGCCTTTTATTTTTCTGACAAAACAATTCTTTTATGTATTCACGAGACTGTCGGGTAGGCACTCATTAAGTTTTGCATCTGTTTTTCTTTTTGAAAGGTAAGAGTATAATAGCAAAGGTAGAGAGTGGGCAGAAGATGCCTAATATTGCTGGGCAGTATGGTGTGAACAGGTCTACAGTAGGCCACAGTTCAATCTTATTTAAGAAAAATACTGTATAGTCAAGAAGACTCAAGCAGCTAAAGGAGTAACAAAAATCACATCTGAGAAATAAAGACCATCAAAGAGTTCATAATGGAACCTGAAACGGATCTGATGACAGAAGAATGCCAAGGACTCTTGAATGAAGAACACCAAGAAACTCGGCGAGATATGTTTTCTTCTGAAAAAGAGGATTAATGCTGATATCTGTTATTAAAGATCTTTTGAAGAAGTAGGAGGAAGTCGGAACAACGGTCTTAGAATGGCATCCAAACTGTGTTGAGGCTTGGTGATTTCTGCAATTGCAATGCTATTAATTACTTACGAAAAATCCTGAAGCAGAGAGAAAAGCAATCGACATTGGACAGATTCTTTAACCCTTTCAAACAGAAAAAATGTGACTAATAAAAATGCAAGACTGCTTATATATGTATTTTTATTATTACATATAAATAAACATAGTAAGAAAGTATATATTTTTTTATTTTTGGGGGTCTCCAGAATGAATTAATCAAATTCCCATTAAAACCCATGGTAAATCGATAATCAGTTAACGAACAATTCGGATAGCAGACAAAGTCTTGGAATGGATTATGTTCATTAACCGATCACCCACTGTATTTTATAATGTCTAAAAATGCTTATTTTGACGTTGCTGTCTATTTTTGCCTAAAACAAAGTTTAGTCTGTTTTATATTTTTAAAAAGTTCTTATTAATTTTTTATTTTATTTTCTGTGAAGGTTTACTTTAATTCTTAAATTAAACTGCTTAAGTTTCATTTTTTTTCTGAAAATGCAATCAGACAAATTCATTTTTTTTTTTTATTATTATTGATTATTTATATTTAAGTCACAGTGAATGCATATCCCAAACAGAAAAAATTAGAATGCAATAATAATGGAAATAAATTATACCTCCTGATGCAATTTTATAGTAATAAAATTAAAACTATATGAAAATTTTAAAATAAATACTTTTATTTAATAAATATAGTGTTAGAGATGCTTTGTCATTTTTAGACAGTGGATTTTAGGCAAATGCCTATTTTTTCCTTAGCATATACATGGCTAAGATTTTGTACTAACTACTACAGTGAACATTTCTCTGATATCAAAAAGTTCTGGCCACTTTAGTAGACTATGCAGTTTGTGTAACTAAAGCCAAGAAAATTTTGAATGACAGTTATGTTCAGAAAAACGGACTGACATCAAAAGGAAAACAATTTTAAAATACATTCTAAAAACAGAAATTCTAATATTTAGTAAAATTTGACGCTTGATGGCTCCTAAAAAAAGAGGTCGAATGTTGGAGTTGACAGTTCCAAGACAACATTCTCCTTATTAAAGTTTTATCACTCTTGTTAGCATTTGTTCCAATTAACCTTTTTGGCTGGATTTGTCTAAAAAAAAAAAAAAGTTATTCTTCTGCAATTCATTCATTTTTAGATTGAAAGTGAATTTATCACCATTGGCCATCAAGCAATCAGCTCTTAGAAATGTTCTTTTATTCAGAGATTTAACTTCTCCAAAAAAAAAGACAAAAGTTTTCTCTGCCTATATGACAAATCATCAAAAACTCTAATATGCAAAAAGGATGGCAATTCCTGAATTTTCTTTAAATTTTTAAAAATAAGTCTTATCAGCTTGAGTATAGAGCTCAAACAATACAAGCAGAGTTCCCAAAATTCAATAACTGTTAATAAAAGGAATAAGCTTCTTGTTCTGTCTTTTAAACAAGCCAATGAAGCTACTAGTATTATTCACTAATTCTTTTTCATTACCACTCAAACTGGAAATGATGTTATTTTTCTTCAAATCATTGTATACAGTGTTTATATAATAATTCTGAAGAGAAAAATTATCCATACACACAGTTCTAAAAGTTGAAAGTTTGGTAACTTCTCCCTTTAGTTGGGTTAGAAATTCTTCAAACTCTTAATGTAAATTAGACAACCAAGTTGAACTTTGATGAGAATTCTTCCAGTTTTCATAGAATAGTATCAAAACATTCCTCAAGAAAACAAAATCTTCTGAGGTATTTGAGTAGAAGTATCCTGTGATGCAATATAATCGTCCAGTCAAGATAATTTCAATGTTGGTTTGCTTGGCAATTGATGATGTTCACCAGCAGAAATTGAAGCTTTACTATGGGTAGAAGATGGTGGTGTATGAAACATTGGGTCTGGATTAAGTTCAATTCCTTCAATAATTAGTAAAAAAGAACAGAATTAAGAAAGAAATTGACAGTAGAAAGAGACATTCTCAATAAAGTCAATTGATGGCAAACAGTTGAATTGTAGATCATAACAGTAAGTCATAAAAAAAAAACATGCCAACAGCCAGCATTGTCAAAAGCACCCCCCCATATTTAATAATTATTAGTAGTGGTAATATTGTCAGAATCTGGTAATCGTTTGGCTTTAAATATAATTATTGGGCTATGAGATGTTTAAATACCTGTATATAGCTTAAATTAAAATAACTTTTGCATATTTGTGATAAACATTTTAAATATAATTGTTTTATGTTAAATCATAACTAGACAGCGGACATCTAGGCCCTTAAAAGTGGCATTTTAGGCGCTTAAAATAAGCTCTTAAATTGCTTCATTTAGGTTTTATAAACAAAAAATAGATGGTCAAAATTTGCATAATGAACAATTAACATACTTATCAGGATGATAAATTATTTATCATATGTATTCCAAACAGAAATGCATGTATTCAGAATGATGCAAACACAAAAGTAAACATGCAATGTCCTTACATTATTTATTCACTCTGTTTCCTATAGTTAGCTTTACAATATATTACAAGCACTTTTTCCAAATTTTGAATAGAAAAGTTGCAACATTTGTCACTGAGAATTAATTTATATGCAGAGAAAGAGCATTCCACATCTACTGAAGATAACGGACAGTATTTCAATCTTGGAAGATGAACTGGAAATTCACTTTCAGTTTTGCTCTTTTTTTCTGCCAAAATATCAGCCACAATAAACAAGCATTTTAATCCACCACTCTTTTGAAGCACTGCTTTCAACTTTTTCTTCACTTATTTTGCAGCACTGCCTGGTGCATCACAAAGTTTCTGCTTTGCTTTGTTGAGGAGATCAATTTTTTCATATATAGGTTTCCCACTACTATCAAGAGTAGTAATAGTATCTGCAATGAATGTGAAATAACACTTGATGTACACCAACTTTTTGAATGTATAACTCATGTTACATTTTTCATCTACTCAACAAATTATTCTAATAAAATAAAAACTTTAAGCAAATAAAATTATTATGACATGAAGATATATGCATGTAGTACTTACATTAATTTATCCATACTATCATCACGTTAAAATTTTGTTTATCTGCTTCCTTTTAGAGGGTTGTTACTAACAACTACCATGTGGTGGATATTGTCTCGCAGTCTTTACTATTAATGCACTTTTCATCGATTGATACATTAAAAGTCTCCAAGTTTCTTAGTTTTTGAACATCAAAGACTGAGTTTTGCCTTGTTCCAGATGATTGACACTCTTGACTCACTTGCATATTAGGCCAGAGTTGTTACTAGTTTATTAT